CTTAAACTTGTGATCCTTCTGCCTCAGCCTCCTGGGTTACAGGGATTACAGGCCAGTGTGGCCATGCCCAGTGACTTTTCTCCCTTGAATGTCACTTATCTGTCATTTTTGGATAAAAAGCCAGAATTACCCTAGTTGCTGGTGTGGAGGCTAAGCTCCCTGTCTGACTTTTGAGGTCTTTTGTGTCCTGTGGTCTATGGAGCATTATTCTCTGCTGCCAAGTTCACCCTTCTTTTCAGCTAAGTCTGTTTTCCTGTGGTCCTTCAAGTGCAAGCACAAGTGCATGTACACACAGTGAAATTTGCAGATACTGAGGATGGGGAGAAAGAACTTAATAAAGGCCTATTTCTAAACTAGGGGACTGGAAAAACGAAAGTAAGAATATGAGAAGTTAAAAAGGAAAAGTCTTAAAATTTTCAACACTCTGAATTTGAAGTAGCCCTGGATATTCAAGGGCTATCTATCCATGGCCAAGATATCTATCCATGGATATCTATCCATGGCCAAGAAAACACATGGGAGTAGAGTTTAATATGAGGATAGAAAAATAAAGACATTAGGGCTATCAAAATAGAAAGGTAGTTGAAGCCTTTTAAATATATATTATCTCTTTATTCAAATATCTACACACAGTATGCATTCTCAAGAGGGGCAATATCACCCCCAAAGGRATGAGAATTAACACATTACACTTGGCTTTTAGTCCTCTAAAGCAATTCTACTTGGCAAAACCTTATTCCTTAGTACTTAATTTCTGTTGGAGAGAAATTTAATTCAATTTGTCTCCTTAGGAAGAAATGGTTGTGAATCATTGCCTGGGCAAAGGCGGGACAAAGAAGAAGTGGAGAATGATGCCTTAGTGCTCCATCACCATAGCCTCTAGTGAAGCAGGGCCCAGTGAATATCAAGCAAGTGGATTCTTTGGGGTAGAGCTCGGGGGATGGGGGAGAGCACTTAACCTGGCTTTGCATGAGCCTCTGAATTCAATCCCCTGCACTGGGCTGGGGGCAGTGAGGAGGAGAGGAATCAGTCACTCCTCTCAACCAGACATTTTCTTTCCCACTTTAGAAAGGTTTCTTTCTGCTCAAGCTAATCTCTCTTTGGGTACTCTAGATTGAATCCCTTCCTCTTTCCTCAGATTCAGATCCATCAATTATCTTTTCTTTCAATTTTTATCCCTTTCCACTAGTCACCTGGATTGTTTAAGCGTCCTTCTCTACCTCAACAATATTCAAACCATTTCAGATCTTGTCAGTTCTATCCTTTGAATTTCCTTCCAATGTGTTCTCTCTCCTCCATTACCAATGTCTTAGTAAGGTCATCGTTTTTAAATAAACCTTAGACCACAATAACTTCTTACCAAATTTTCACAGAACAAGTTTTATTGTCTTTCAGTCCATAGTCAGACTTAGTAGTTTTTAAGATCCTGTAAACAAAGTGGCAGGGGGAAATCCATGCCAAGAATGAAAAGGATATGTGGGTGGATTATTAACTGTAGAAGACTGAAAATTCCAGGGTGAGAAATATTACAAGACAGGACCAAGTGAGAGGAAGGGGAGGATGGAAGGGGAAAAAAATAATGCTCYTTTTACAGCAAGAGAGAGCTGAGACTAAAAGAATCTAAATAATAAACAGTCTTCCTTGGTATCAGTGGAGCTAATGAGTCGCCCCCAAGACTGAACTTCTGCATACAGTGGGAAAGTGTTCTCAATATCCTGCAGGCTGGTCAAAGAGGAAGGACCAGTAGTTTCCTATTTTCACCTGACAAATGTTAAAGTTCTCATTACTCCAGACAGGTTATCCCATGGCTCTCAACTTCCATTCCAGATGCCTCCCAGCTTGATATAACAATTTACTGAGAGGCAGGACACAGTAATGCAGAAGCTGGTAAGTGGCGTAGTCACAGTGGATTACTTGGAACCATCTAAACCCAGCATGTTCTAGTCTAGCATAGTTCTTTTCACATTGCTTCTACCCTGACTTGGATTTCTCACATCCATTTTGGAATTCCTTTATCTCAGGATAATCAGCAAGCCCCTTCTGAAGCAGGCGGATAAGCCAGGTGCTTCTTTCTTTAAGACCTCAGAGCATCTTTTTCATATCTCTGATATAGCTATTAAATCTGTCTCACAAATTGGCTGTAAGATTGTGAAGGACAGAGGTCACACTCAACTAAAATTTAAATCCCCAGCAATTAACACAACCAACTTGGAATCTAAAAGATAGAAGTTTATAAATTCACATTCAATTCTTTTGTTTTTTGGAACCGAGGAATGAACCCAGGATTGCTTTACCTCTGAGTTACATCCACAGGGTTTCACTAAGTTGCTTAGGGCCTTGCTTATTGGGAGCCAGCGACCGCACCCTGAATATGGCGCTGGTCTCTGCTTCCGCTTCGTTAGCGGTTAGAGCTGTTAGAAGTAAACAACTCCTTGTAAGGCTGTGGGGCTGGGCTCTGGCCTGCTTCCGCTGCGCTGTACCTATTAGACTTTTCCACGTGGTGCTAGTTCATTGGCGGGGCTGGGTACTTAAGCTAGGGCAGACCGACCGCTTGCTCTCTTGTTCCTGTTTTCTCATCATGCTTCAAGAGTCCTGAATAAACTGCTGAAAGAAGAATCCTGTGTCCTGTTTCCCTTGCTGGCGAGGGGTCGCTACACTTGCTAAGTTGCTAAAGCTGGCTTCAAATTTGCAATCCTCCTGCCTTGGCTTCCAAGTTGCTGGGATTACAGTTACAGGTGTACCCCACCATGCCTGGCCACCTTCAATTTAAATGACTAATGAAATGCAACAAATAAAGAGACCCTAGAGATCATCAAGCCAGACACCCCAATTTTATAGATGAGAAACCAAGGTTCATAATGAAGTGACTTATCCAAGGTTGCAGAGGGAGAAAAGGTTTAAACTGGGACTCCTGCCTTTTGGCACACACAAAGATGATGTCTGGAATACAGAAAACAATAAGTATATGTGGTAGAACAAAGTGCTTTCTTTAAATTAAAAAAATTATTATTTAAAGTAAGTTAACATACTTAACATATTACTTAACATACCAGAATCTCAAAATTTACTATGCCTGCAGTCCCTAACTACATCAACATTGAATAATTATAGGGGAATAGGTAGAAGGGAGAAAAATATACTGAACACAGGGTCTTGTGCATGTTAATCTCTCTTGAAGTTCTTAAACATTTTCAATGCTCTCTGTACCTCCAGGAAGATTACTATCCTCCATATACACAGATTTTTATAAGGCTAATGGTCTCTTCCTGTAAACCAGGACACAAAAAGAAGCTTCTACTGCTGGTGGTGTTAAGAATCAATTCTTAAATTAAAAGAGAGAGAGAGAGAACCAATTCTCTTTTTTTCCTTAAAATGCAATCTGAGCCCAACATAGAGGCATAGGCCTGTGGTATCAGGCAACATGATCATTTGAACCCAGGAGTTTGAGGCCAACCYGGGCAACACAGAGGACCCCATCTCATTGGAAAAAAATAAATGTAGCCTGATATTTTATTCAAATAACCTCAGGTGTGATGACCTATTTAGTTATGGAGAAAGAGCAGCTTGGATCTGAAAAACATGGAGTTTATTTCTGGCTCTGCTGTTTTTTGCAACAAAAAACAAGGCTTTCTCTTCAACTTCCTCTGAGTCACAGCTCTCTGCAGCCATAAAACACTAGCACCCTGACAGAGAGTGAGCTGACCATTTCCATCTCAAACACTCATGATTCTGTCAATCTTTAGGTAACTATCTACACATGGTTTTACAGAGACAATTTTTTTTTAAAAGTGCTATTTGGTAAATCTACATTCACTGTATCAATTTAGTAGACATGTTGGTGGAAGGGAACATAGCAACCAGAGCGTAAATTATCTGGTTAGGTAGTCATCTTACCTACCATACTTACTAACATCAAGTATGTGGAGTATTATTATTTCACAATAAATCTTCAGATAACAAAGAGGAATGAGAGTCTCCTTTCAGTAGATCTGCAGGGGAGGGCTAAGAACCTTAATTCTTGGAAACCTAGATGATTCTGATGCAGCGCCTAGGTGAGGAGCATTTGTAGCAGTGATTTTGTTATCACTGTGCTGACATTTAACTAATGTTCTAATATTTTTCATTCTTTCACAATTATACATGGTCATGATTAATATGCATATGTTTTGAGTACACATAATATGCTCATCAAGAAATGCGCTCCTTGAAGAAAAGCACCATAGTTTATCATTCTATTTGTTTTCCTGAGACCATTTAGCACTGGACTGGACATACAGTAGCTCTGAACGACTTTCAACATGCTATAGTTTATAGTTTGGATCTTTTGAGTCTCCCAAAGGTTCATATGCTAAAAGAACAGCCTGTGAGGTAGTGGAACTTTAAGAAGGTGGGGCCTAGTGGAAGCAAAACTATGTTACTGGGGGCATGCCCTTGAAGGTAGTATTGGAATCTCAGCCCCTTCACCTCTTTGTGACCTGCCTGCCATGAGATGAAGAGAATTCCTCTACCTTGCTCTCCCACCATGATGCACTGTGCTGTCACAGGCCCACAGGCAACTGTGGGATTGAAACCTCTGAAACTGTAAGCCAAAATAAATATTATAAATTGATTACATCAGGCATTTTCTCACAGCAACAGAAAGTTAACTAACAGGATGTGAGTGAAATGTCTGGCAGGAAAAGTTTAGCTTTGAAAGGACCAGGCAAAGATGCTCTGTGGTCTTTCTTTAGAAGTGCACATGCAGATACTCTGAAGAGCAGACCAAATGTAAAGAAGTAGGGCAGTATAAAATATAATCAGAAATATATGTTTCTCATACTGAACTTTTTGACAAAGGAAAAAAAAAAAAAGGATGAGGGAGAGGAAAATAAATACAGTACAGTACAGACACAGGATCTAACACTAGCCAAGCTCTCATGCACATGTTCTCTTTGTCCCAAGGAAAAAAAAAAGGTTATGTTTAATTTCAGAAAGGAATTTTAGGAAAAACTCCAACTCACCTGGAACTTTGTCATATCTTCCTCTCAGGGAAATGCAGATTCCTGGAAAGGCAGAGAAAAATCCATAAAAACCAAGCCCACCTTGTAGGACACAGACTAGCTGGTCCAACACTGGAAAAAGTTACTCAGCTCTTGCTATCAGTCAATCCTTCCTCTCGCACTCCCTGCAGTTCTCTTACCCCTCTCCTCAGGGCTTTGGAACAAATAGGCCAAGTYTCCCATCAAAGCACGTGAGAGTAAGCAAATTCGGTAGCTGTCTGCATCTGAAAGCCTTTTCCCTCAGACTTCCCAATTTCTGCCCTAAAGTTCTGGTTAGAGTAGGAGCTCTCAGGTTATATAGATAGCCTCTGAGATGGGATTTTGGATACACAAGACGCCATCCTTTTTCTCTGCAACCTGATTCATTTCTGGGGTACAGGGGTTCTGATGTAACATTTTTTTCAGCGAGGACGGTGCTGTGGAGCAGAAACCTGGGTCCCCTAGGGAGCCCTTCTCGACTGCCTAATGTCCACAGAACAACTCCTTGGAAAAGGCCGATGTAGCCAACCACAAAGCTCCCAGGCAGGCCCAGGCCAGGGCTCAGCCACACGAGAGGAGGGGCCCTCAGGGGCCAGGCCTCCTTTGCGGTAGAGGCCTGGCCTCCGTGTGGCCCAGCCCAGGGGGCGCCACTGCTCGGAATGCGGCGCCCAGACACACGTGCGGCCCTGAGTTGCCCTCCGCGGGTTGCACTCTCCTTCGGCTTCTCGCCCGGCTTCCGATCTCGGCGGCCCAGCACCTCACCAGAGGCCCACGACCCTGATCCGTGACACCTCTGCCAGCCGCGAAGGCCGCCGGCCCCGTCTCACCTCCCACGTGAGATCCCACACCTGGCAACGCAGTGATCCGCAAACTGACCYGTGCCCTCGCCATGGGCCCCCAACTACAAGTCCCAGCGAACCGCGCGCGGGACAGCCCACTTCCGGCACCTACTTCCGGCGGCGCCCGGGATGAGTGTGTTTTTCGAAGAGCTGAGCAGTGGCGTAGGCATTTGTCCACGCTGCTGTTCGCCTCTCCTGGCAAAGTGGTAAAGTTATCCTTCAGCCTTTTTCTTACCAACGCCTAAGAATTATTTTAGGAATACCTGTTATGATGTTTTTTTATGTTAAAATTCCGCTGGGGGAGAAGGACGTAAATACCACCATTAAAAAAAAATTCTGAAATTAATACTTACCACTCGATATCTTCTGTCTCAGTTCCGAAGTTCATTCATGGCAGGAGCTCTTCAAGATGTTACTCCCAAATCATTGCCCTTTCAGTGATTCTTGTTAAATTCTAGTGGGGGGAAACAAGCCATCTAAATAGAAATAAATGACATAGTATGGTATAAGGTGATACGGAAAGATGTTATGGAAAAAATAGATTGATGAGGGGTGCTTGTGTGGTTATGTGTGGTTGATTTTATGTAGGGTACAATTGAAGGACTGAGAAGGTGAGAGGATTGGTCATGTGGCATTCAGCAGTCAGAACTCTTCCTTCAGCGACACAGATATGACTGTTTGTACGTATTTTTAAAAACATGCCATGTATGTGGGCCTGCAATTTGCTTTTTACAATTGAATAGTATCAAATATTTACTAGGGGAAGCAGAAATCTTGCCTCAGAGACCCTTTTATTCGATATCTTCATAGGGTGGCACCATAATTCTACCAGGCTACACCTCTCCTTCACCTCTCACTGAGTTGACACAGAGCTGCCCGTTTGGCCTCTTTCAAATCTTTTTCAAATTTATTTGAGAGATCAGAAAGCTGCTTCCTGGGCGTCTCTTCTATACCCTTCTTCTTCAATCTATCAGTTTCCATTTGTTCCTGTAACAAATTATCACAAATTGGTGTACACCACAACAAATTTATTATTTTTCAGTTTTGGAGGTCAGTAGTCTGATATAATTTTCACTGGGCTAATAGTGTCTATAGGGCTGGTTCCTTCTGGAAGCTTTAGAGGAAGAATTTTTGCCAATTTCCAGTGACTCAATGTATTCTTTGGCCTGTGGCCTCTTCCTGTCTTCCAAGTACTGTAATCCAATTTGTTCTTCGTTCATGATATCACTTTCTCAGACACTGGTGACTCCTACATTTTTCTTACAATAAGTTGCAATTATATTGGACCCAATTGGATAATGCAGGAAAATCATTCTACATCAAGATGCTTAATTTTGGGGCTGGGGATGTGGCTCAAGCGATAACGTGCTCGCCTGGCATGAGCGGGGCGCTGGGTTCGATCCTCAGTACCACATAAAATAAAATAAAGATGTTGTGTCCACCGAAAACTGAAAAATAAATATTGAGAAACTCTCTTTAAAAAAAAAAAGATGCTTAATTTAATCACATTTTGAAAATCCCTTTTGTCATATAAATTAACATTCACAATTTCTAGGGATTAGGGCTTGGACACATTTGGGGAACCATTATATTCAGCCTATTGTAGGAGCATGGACCCATTTCCTGTCTGGGCTCCTCTTCAGAACTACTCTCCTACCTTTTGTCTGGGAACACAAAGTTATCTCTTTTTGACTCACCACTATTAATCTCTGATGGAAAATCATAGAGCTCTTCTCTAATCTTTTGATTCTATAACCCTTGCCTCACCCCTCACCTCTACCCCAATGTCCTCATATCCCTCTTTGCTGATATATTTTAGAGACCACTGACCATCATATGATCAGTCCTTTGTATATACCATTAACTGTCTTGCTCCGTCTCATTTTATTTCATTCTGATAAAACATAAAACCTAGTTGATTCCAACTCCCTGTCTGCTCTCTGCCTGTACTTGCATGGCAGATGTGGCCTAAGAAAAACACACAGCCCCTGAAAGTTCTTRCTTTCAATTTGTGACCAATAAGTTCAAGTGGACCAATCATGCTGCCCAGCTATCCTACTTTTTCTTAGTCCATTTATTTTCCTAAATGACTAATTCACAACTTCTCCTCCTCCTCCAAGTCTCCAACAACTCCTTTCTCCCACCTCACTGATAACTGATGAATTTGATTTCTCTGTTACTGAGAAAAGAGAATTTCTGTACCCAAGCACAAGCACATCTGCAGACCTCTCTGCACGGAACCTGTGTGCTCCACTTTGCATTCTGAATGAACTCTCCTTCTGGGTCCTGGATCTTATTCCTTTTCTCATGCATGATGACATTCACCTTTTTCTTCTGTCACCAGTTTTTCATTCTGTACGGAATTACCAACATACTAATGAATATGCTGTGCTATCTGCTTTAAAATAAAATGTTTTCCTCCCACCCTATTTCTCTTCAGCTACCACCCAATTTTTGCTGCTTCCCCTTACAGCAGACCTCCTCAAAGAATTTTCTATAGATATTTCCAATTCCAATTCTCCTCTATTCCCTTAAACCTACTGCAGTTAGGTGTTTTTCCATTACCAGTCCAATGGAAAAGTCATCATTAACTTTCAACAGCATAGGTTCAAAATATATGAGTAAAATGTTTTAGCCTGGGGGTATAGATCAGTGGTAGAACACTTGCTTAGTAAGCATGAGGCTCTAGGTTCAATCCCTAGCTCCAAAACAAAACCCAAACTCAAATCAAAGAAACCACCACTTTCATTAACAGGAAAAATCTTTCCTAATACCTGAAAGTTGTGAATGTTAATTTATGTTAACTATCATAGTGGAGGATTTTTCTGGAACACACACTCTTACAGAAAAAAAAAAAAAAAAGTATCCAGCTGGGTGTGGTGGTGCATGCCTGTAATCCCAGCAGTTTGGAAGGCTGAGACAGGAGGATTGTGAGTTCAAGACCAGCCTCAGCAAAAGTGAGGCACTAAGCAATTCA